CAAGGGCTGTAGGAGAGTGGCCACACAAGCAGCTGCCAGAGCGAGTGGAGAGCCCGAGCCAGGCCAAAGCAATTGCAATCAGAGCAGCGCCACATGACACAGACAGGTGGTTTGATAGAGAGACAGCAGAACGGGCGAGAGGGAGGAAGATGACAGCAATATTGAGACAGAAAAAGGATGAGAGAGAAAACAATGGGACAGCAGGAGATAGCACTCAAAGTCAGTAAATATGTGGTCTGAAAAATTGAGGCACTAATGGTGACATTAATGAATTATTTACAACCAGATATTCTAATTTCACAGAGCATTGCTTTCCCCTCATTGCTATTTTTGTTCTACATGTACAATTATTGCCAGATAATGCTCATCATCATACCTGCGTGAAACAAAGAATTAGCCATGCATAATACAGCTCACCATAAGACCACTGCTTCATAATTTATAGCCTCTACCAGTAAAAGTAAGACAAAAACTCTTAATTATCAAGTTATGGACATGAGATTAACTCACTCTTAAACATGGGTCAGGATATAATTGGCTAAAATAGCTATGATACCTTACTCACATAACCTTTTACAGTAAAACGGTGCAACAGTCTGACAGCTGCTTCACTCCCTCAATACATACACATTTTATTTCTATATAGAAATATAGACACATGTATGTGTTCAGTATATGTTGTTTGGACATCTAATCTTGTAGCTGTAAGGTGTTGCCACAGTTTGATGAATATAAGAGTAGCATGTGGGTGTCGCTGTGTGGTGGAGCGACAAAGGGAGAGAGGTGGATAAGCAGACAGCGTCTAAGGTGTAGGGGTTTGGAGGAGTAGAGGAATGAACAGTGAAGTGTTTGAAGTGATGCTGTATGTACAATGCAGGTTTTAGTTTGTTTATGCATACATGTTGCAGCTCTTAAGCATTTAAGGATGTGTTTATATTTTCTATTGAATGCAACCTAGGTCTGATCGGTTGAAAAGAGACCATTACTAGAGTAATCCAGAAGAACACACTTTTAAAAACACCATTATTCTATTGTAGAACTTGTCAAATTCAATTATTTGTCTCTAATGTAGTTACAGTACACTGTGGTGTTTGATATCATTTTTGGGATATGGCTTTGACTTACATCCGACCATTTATTCTAATAGCTAGAAATACGGAGAAATAAATGATTGCTAGGCCCTATCACCCTGCCTAAATGTAACTCTCATTGGATTAAAAACTGCAAATTCTTTACAGCGTTTTCCCTGTCTTCCGTTGCTGTGCTCCTCACCACGCTGTCAGGAGAGGAGCCTATCGCACTGGCCAGCTGCGGAGGAAGTGTCACCTGAGTCATTTCCATTGTGTGATAAGGTTCTACAGTTGTAGGGCATTCTACAGGAACTGCAAGCACCGGGTGGGCTCACAGGTTAAACTGGTTGCCACAGATTTCTCATCACCTCTCTCCTTGTTTCTGTTACTCTACGTCTGACAGGTGTGATGCACTGTTGTGCTGTTTTTTTTTTATTGTTGTTGTTTGCTGTCAACTTGGTGAGTGGGTTACGTGTTAGTAATACAGAACTTCACAATTGATACTTTAGCAGGATGAATACTAAATGAGCACTTAGTTGGCATAAAGGGAACTGCTTTAGGCTGGTTTAGGTCCTATCTATCTGAACGCTCTCAGTTTGTACGTGTCAACGATAAATCTTCCACGAAACCAAAGTTAGCCATGGAGTGCCACAGGGCTCAGTGCTCGGACCTATTTTGTTCAATTATATATGCTTCCGTTAGGCAATATTATAAGGAATCATTCTGTAAACTTTCATTGTTATGCGGATGATACTCAACTATATTTATCAATCAAGCCTGATGAAATTAATCATCTACATAAAATTCAAGACTGCCTCAAGGAAAAAACGTGGATGGGGGACCTTAAACTTTGATGTCAAACATGACCAAAACTGAAGTCTATTCGTAACTTGGCCCGAAGAAATCTACGAAACAAATTATCTGAAAGATATACTAAGCTATTGGAGGCCAATGTAATTTGGTCTCCAGTGAAACTTGTAAGGAATCTTGGTCTTATATTGTGATCAGCGAGTTATTGCTTTAACGCCCCACATAAAATCCAATTTCAAGGACCCGCCTCTTCCATCTACGTAACACTTGCAGAAAATCAAGGCATATCTTGCCTCAAACGATGCAGAGAAACTATTTCCATGCATTGTCCACTTCAAAGGCCTGGAATTATTTGTAACTCCCTTATCATTCAGGGTTTCCCCCAAGAAAGTTCAGCAAGTCCCTTTTCAGCCCTCGATTCAATGCCCCCCCTGCCAAACTTCGTGTACCTTAACCGAGAGTTTAGAAAAGGGAACAACATTAAACTCCCTTTCCTGTTGTTGCCTTACAACGGGCTCCCTTATAGAAACACAGAATACGAATTAAATTCCTTCGTTCATCGCCTACAAAGGCCCTTAATTAGGCAGGCGGCCATCCATAACCCTTTAAAGGAACTCATTTTTATACCTAAGCTGTCCCCCCTACAGGGGCCCATTTGCGTTTCCCCCAGAATGGACAGGGTTGTTTTTTGGGTTGTTCCTAGGAGTCCCTCCTAAAAAGTAACAAAATGGGAAGCCAGAGCCCTTTTTTTTTCTTTAATCCAGGCTTCCGCACATTTTGTGGAAGAGCAGCTTCCACGTTTGGTGTCCCGGCTGCGGCAGCACACTTAGCCATTTTTTAAGAGGTGGCCCGGCTTAGACGCCTTCATTTTTGAATAAAAGGCTTATAGTTAGGGCTGAAATTTTTAGATCTCAAAAGGCCCCTAGTTTTGCTTGATTATAGGCCCTTACGTGTTGGTCGGGGGACATCGTTACTTCTTTTTCATTCTCTCTGGTCTATACCTGTGGGGCGGTGAACTCTTCATGTTTCCCGATTTTAACCCCAGCCCTTTCCCCCCCAAAATCGGGGGTTCNGCTTCCCCAAATGTCTTTCTTTTTGGTGTCTATATACACCGGGATCCGGAGTCATGGATGATCCTGCGGTCCTGTGTCATGGATCGCGAGTCCTGGATCTTATGTCGTGGCTGTGGTCCTGGATCATAAGTCCTGGATGGATATCCTCGTGGATTCATCTTCCTATTATACACACATGCATTTCCAAACATTTTGACTACCTATGTTGCAAATGTATTATCTTTTCAATTTACACACGGCATCTATTGCACGTCTGTCCGTCCTGGGAGAGGGATCCCTCCTCTGTTGCTCTCCCTGAGGTTTCTCCCATTTTTCACCTTTAAACTGTGGGTTTTCTCCGGAAGTTTTTCCTTGTACGATGTGAGGGTCTAAGGACAGAGGGTGTCGTATTGTCATACTGATATTCTGTACAAACTGTGAAGACCACTGAGACAAATGTAACATTTGTGATATTGGGCTATATAAATAAACATGGATTGATTGATTGATGAACAGTTACACGCCTATAGCTTGGATTTCTGGACTGAGATGTGTCTCTAGTGCGTAGTATAACAATTTAACAAGCATACTTTTTGGGTCATCTCTTTGTGCCAGCCTTGTTCATTTTGCACCAAGGCGCACCATAAATCAGACGTCATTGACAATACACAGAATTAATTATTTCAATGTGTTTATCAAATGTTGTTATACAGTTCACACTATTTATATTTCAATTGTATTTGTATTTACATTTTTGCACATCTCAAAACATTCTCTTGCACTATTTTATTATTTATTATTATTTTATTGTTGTATTTGTTTTATGTCATATTCATGTTGCATGGATGGAGGAGCATGTGATAGATAGATAGATAGATAGATAGATAGATAGATAGATAGATAGATAGATAGATAGATAGATAGATAGATAGATAGATAGATAGATAGATAGATAGATAGATAGATAGATAGATAGTTAGATAGATAAATAGATAAATAGATAGATAGATAGATAGATATATAGATAGATAGATAGATAGATAGATAGATATATAGATAGATAGATAGATAGATAGATAGATAGATAGATAGATAGATAGATAGATAGATAGATAGATAGATAGATAGATAGATAGATAGATAGATAGTTAGATAGATAGATAGATAGATAGATAGATAGATAGATAGATAGATAGATAGATAGATAGATAGACAGACAGACAGATAGATAGATAGATAGATAGATAGATAGATAGATAGATAGATAGATTGATTGATAGATAGATAGATAGATAGATAGATAGATAGATAGATAGACAGACAGATAGATAGATAGATAGATAGATAGATAGACAGACAGACAGATAGATAGATAGATAGATAGATAGATTGATTGATAGATAGATAGATAGATAGATAGATAGATAGATAGATAGATAGATAGATAGATAGATAGATAGATAGACAGACAGACAGACAGATAGATAGATAGATAGATAGATAGATAGATAGATAGATAGATAGATAGATAGATAGATAGATAGATAGATAGATAGATAGATAGATAGATAGATAGATAGATAGATAGATAGATAGATAGATAGATAGATAGATAGATAGATAGTTAGATAGATAGATAGATAGATAGATAGATAGATAGATAGATAGATAGATAGATAGATAGATAGATAGATAGATAGATAGTTAGTCCAAATTTGGGAAATGTTTGCGTTGCAGCAGCATAAAAAACAAGGCAATATAAGAAAAATTAAGCCACAAGAAATAAACAGTCCAAAATATTTCTGAAATAGAAATAAAATAGCATTAAAAAGTTAATATATATACGTGGATGAGGAAAATATAAATGTGGAAACTTTCCAGTAACAAATATAATGCAGTTGTATAATGCATGACTTAAGTTTTTCATTGCCATATCTACAGTTTAGCTACTGTGCACATGACGATAAAGCCTTGAATATTGAATCTCGAATCTTCCGGCAACCTTTCTACACAAGAGCTATCTCGAAGCACAAAACACATTGCAGCACTGATTCAAACACACACTGACCTGAGTGACATGATTTTGTATGCATCAGGCAGGTAACAGCGAGTGTTCTCCATCTGGGCGGGGTCTGAGTCGCAGATCTTGTCATCGGTGCGGCCGTAGTTGGCGCTCTCGATCATGATGACGTCAGTGCCGGGGCAGCGCAGCTCGATGGGGTAAGACTCACATGACAGCTCCCTCCGCACCACTGCCATAGGGATAGGGGCACGGCCTCCGGCTAGAAACAAAGACACAAACACACACACATTGGTACAAGGTTAATGCCCCTGCTACACTGAAACATGCTACTTGTTTTTATGTCTGTCTTTGAAATATGTGCAGTGGAGGACTAAATTGTACAAGCATAAAATGTGTTCAACTAAGACTGCATTTGTACCCATGTCATATAGACTAATTATCCAGGCTATGTGAAAACAATAGCATCACAGAAGATTATTCATAAGGGCATGGCCACTGTCGCGAGTGAACCAACTTGGTAATTATTGTTTTGCAGTTAGCAGTTTTAGACATCACTCTAGATAGAGAATAATTGCATGGAAATGTTAACAGGCATTTAGTGCTGCAGAGATTATTTAAAGATGGCAATGCCTAATTATTCTCAGAAGTTTCAAATGTGTGGCAAACTGTACATCCACACTTACTGTCCTGAAAGAGGAAACATGTCATTAACTCCAATGAGATTGAAACCACTGATCTGCCCGGATCTTTTTTTTACTGCTGCTGCTTTGCTTCCTTGCTTGTTTAATGATTAGAACTGGTGAAGACTATCTTTGATAATGAAACATCTGAACAGACCAAAAGGAAATCAAGCTGCCATCGACTAATTAAGTTTAGATATCTTATATCCTATATGCTTGGCAATCTTCACAAAGGGAGCTTGCAGCAGCCTCTGCACTGCAGTTTTCACCTGTGGTGCAAAGATGATGGGACATGCTCTAAATATTCCCATCTGAGACAACACACGCTGTAAACTAAAACTACATCAAAATTAAGCAGACATTTTTTTTGCAGCTATACGTCTAGCATGCCTCACCTTGCAACAGGTGATGCTATCACATCTCAGACCTTGTACATGGCCGACCTTTTTGACATTGTCATTGTTAAAAGCATAGTTGAAACAAATGTCCTTAAAGAGGGCTAATTTCCATCAAGTATCCAGTATGCCATGTTCCAACACCTGGAATCTAAACCTACTCAACTGCTAGGAATATAGACATTTTTGATGTTATCAATAACACATAGCCTTTCCTGCTGACTCCTCATATCATTTAATGTGATGTAAAATTGATCTCTTGAGGTCAACCAGTATGTCATTGTATCGCTTTTTGCCATGTGTGGTACCTATCTTAGTAGAATAATTGTGTTGATTATTAATCAGTCAATGTAACATAGTTTGCATGAGTTATTGCTAGACAACGAATATGTTAAACGATAAAGCATGGGTTAGTTTATCTTCTTTGAAATCTAACTTAAATTCAGGTATCTTATATTATCCTGCTTACAATTATGTGCATGATGTATATTTGAAATAAAACTCCATTACCATCCCAAAAACTAAAACTAAAAGTAAAGCATGGTACCCATACTGATTTATTTTCAACCTAATGAAATAAATTAAACACATATGGCTCTTTTGTTTGCTTTATTATCCTGTTACTTATGTGTACAAGACCAGATTAGATCTTTTGATGACAGTAGCATGCTTTGATATTGATGGTTTGGGGCTGGATGTACCCAGGGATATTGGTTGTTGTGGCGCAGCTTGGTTTTTGTTATTCTCTGTTTCTTGAGAGCAGTGAGCCCTGGGAGCATCAGGCATCCTCCCTTGATAGATAGATAGATAGGTTATCAGCTCAGGTGTTTGCTTGTTTTGTTTAGCTCTCCTCCTTTTATTGTAAGGTAGATTTGATTGTGTTTATTTTTACACAGCATTATATTTTGACCTCATCTGAGAATTTTAGCTATATCTAGTGCAATATACATAATACACATTGTCCCTGTTGAGTAAACAAATGAAATATATTAGGATGTGGCTACACGCCCAGTGATCGTGACTGCTTGTTGCTCCATCGCTTTTATTTGTATCGTAGAATTAATCTTGTCAAGGTTTGTTAAATGCACATACACATGTTCGCATACGTGTGAACACAAACCCATTGAAAAGGCGACTAACCGCAATTTATCACAAAGACCTATAACATCCGAGGCCCGGCACCACCTTACTTGCTCTCCCTGTCATGATAACCATAGCAACCCTGTCCTCCCTCCCTTGGCTCCCTCATTGGCTGAAGGGGCGTCATGGTTACACGAATGCAGCAAAGAATCTGAATGAGCTCAATGACACTCGACTCGGGCTCTTCTTAATACTGCCCTTCACAACATCACACACACACACACACACACACACACACACACACACACACACACACACACACACACACACACACACACACACACACACACACAAACACACACACACACACACATATGTAGGCCTACACATAAAAAAGGTCAGAGGGATAACATGGAGAGGGAGAAAAGTGTGTGGTGCTGGTACCTGAGGGCACTACATCGATAATAACAGGCGCTAGCTTAGAGATAAGACTGATATATAAGTGACATTTACTGAAAATATCCTTTATAATGAACACACACACACACACACACACACACACACACACACACACACACACACGTATATGACTCAGAGGTCGTATTAACCAAATATTTTCCGTCTATAGCCGAATTCACACCGCAGCACTTTTCCCACTTTAGTTCCGATATAGTTCCGAAATGTCGCGTTCACACCAAAAAGAGCCGGAACTAAAATTAGTTTATCAGAACCTTTTTACCCCCTTTATAGAGCAGGTACTTTCATGGGAGAAAAAGGTTTCTATGGCTGGGCGGAATGCAAACCACGCCCCGTAAAACTCCCAAAACGTTTTGTGAAGCCGCCATTTTATTATCCTCACATTATTAGCATTAGCATTATCCCAGCGCACAAACGCAGAGAGACTAACTTATGGCAACACAAAAGAAAACATGGGAGCGGTGGAGATGAGGAGGTGTCGGCGTTCTGGCGATTTACTCGGAAGGCTTCAGTAGAAGCTGCTTGGAGTCCCAGCAGCTTCTACTGGGGGGTGGCAGTACCGTGAAATTGTGCCAGTAAACCCAAAGCAGAAGAAGAAGAAATACGTCAGCGGCTTCATTTGCCTAATCCTCCCCCAGGAACTTATTCCGGTGTGAACACGATCTGTACTTAGTTCATGAGAACTAAAGAGTTCGGTAATACTGGATTTTGACGGAAATGTTAAGATAGATAGATAGATAGATAGATAGATAGATAGATAGATAGATAGATAGATAGATAGATAGATA